TTTGCCTGTTGCTGGATGGGAGAGAGAGAGCACTTGGCTAAAAAGCAGTCATGTGACTCTGGAACCCATCCGGTGCTCAACTTCTCTCTCTTGCAGCAAAACCAGCCCACAGCACATGCTAATCCGCAGGGTGTCTTCAATCACAGTAATGCCATAATTTCCAAAGAGAAACCTTCATGCAAATGTATAAAGCCTCAGAGGCAGCTACTGGTTAAGTCTTGCCTATGCCAGAATGCCCAAACTCTGACAGCTGTCCCAGAATGTCATTTGACTTACCTCCCTGACTCCCTGGCTCTAAGTGACTTGAGGACATCCTATTCCCTCCTGTACCTACTCTGTAAACAATGGAACACATACAGAGACTCTCACCATGTACCCCACTTAGACAAACTGGTATCGTACCAACACTCAACAACTGACCACAGGCAAGGGCATTCTGAGGCCCAGGTGACCAGCACTTTACAAATACCAGTCAAAACACGGTAGAAGGGGAAAGCCCCGCCTCACAAGAAAGGAGAGAAATAGAGTCAACTAACTTTCTTAAGAAGGAAAATGGAAATAGGGGACAAAAGGAAGAAACTGGATACAAATAAAAGCAACAAAGGGGGTGCGTCTGAGGGGCAGAAATCACCTGGCATGGACCTCATTCTTCATGACTCACTCTGTTTGCTCATCTCTACAGCAACAGCGGGGCTGCCAGCAAACAAGGATTAAGATTTTACAGAAAAAAATAGGACAAAGAGAGGACAGTATGAGCTGCTTGGTACCATTCACACCCACCTGTTCAAAGACACAGAAAAGAGTTATACTGAAAAGCAGTGGAAAAAATACTTTTTAAAACAATCCACACAGAAACAAATTTGAGGATTCATTATAATCTGAGAAAAAAAATTACAAAAAGCAAAACACATGCAAACGCAAAAACCGTAGCACATCAGAGAAAGTAGAGGAGTTGGCAGCAGTCATGAAATCAAAGGCATACTAATTTATGGCTCCAAATCTGATTCCAGAGGGGAAGAATCACTGTGGCTCCATCCTGCCTTGAAACCAGGGGTCCACGTCTCCTGAGGATTGTTCAAAAAGTGTGGTGATTTGGGTTTGGGAGGATCAAAAATTCACATAGAAGCTAACAAAGAACAACCAAAGAAAAATTTCCAAAGCCGCAAAACCTTGCTACTTAAGATAATGACAGAAATTTACGACTGCTTCCTTCCCTGCAGAAAGGAACACAATTAGAAGGCTGAAAACAACAGGGCCTTTGTATCAGCATGTTAGGTTTTGCTTATTCTATTACACACTGGCTGAGAGATAAGAATAAACAGGACAACACCCTGTCTAACCCCAGGAGGAGAGGGCGGAGAGAAAAGCTGGTTACATTCATTCTTGGGCATGTACCTGCACACCGTTTATTTGCAAATTGAGGTACTTAAGAAAATTGTGCATGCAACAGTCAGGAACTAGTCTAAGCATTCAGAAGTCTTTTATTGCACAATCAAATCTTTTAAGAACAAGCTGTGTGTAATAGTTCTGCTCTACTGTAAAGTGTGTTGAAGATATTTACGGAACTGGTAATTATTTCTCTATGCTCTTTATCTATCAATCCTATTTTTGTTCAGTCTTTTAAAAAAAAAAAAACTTAAAAACTAGAATGAGCAAACATACAAACACTGCTTCTTTCTCTGTGACCCACTATGTCAAGGAAGCTTGCATAGAATCAGTCAGCAGGCACTAGAGAAGAAATGATGGTGATCTGAGACATCTTCCTTCTCTACAGAGACAGTCACCAGCCTGGATGCCTAGTAAGTGCTCAGAAAGCTCTAGGAATGGAGACTTTGCACAAGGATGGCAGCTGCTAAGCCAGTCAGGTTCTAGCAACAGTCATGAGAGGGGATGGCAATTATGTTTCCAAGAAACCCAGGCAAGGTTTGACCACACTCCTGACAGCCTAGAATGATGGACCTTGACCCAATCTCTGCCATTTTCTGGTAACTCGCTCTTGCTCTCTCGCTCTCGTTCTCTCTCTCTTTCCCTCGCAGTGGCTCAGAGGACCCAAGTCCTGAAGGACAATGGGATATCCTGGTGCCCAGAGCGAGTTTAAGGAGGTGGCTAAGGAGAGCCATTCTAAGGCTCTGGAGGGCACCCTCTGTCCTCTAGCCACACAGGCCTTCCGGGGCCTTTGAACTGGAACTCCCTTTGCTTTCCACCGGATGGTCACAAGGCTGACTCCTTCTCATTTTTCACTTTCCTTCCAAATGCCCCTCTTTAAAGTAGTGTTGCCCTCTCTCATCCTAGCCATGTAACCTGTTCTCCCACTCTGTCACTCACTTGGCTCTATTTTCTTCATAGCACACACCTTAATTATTGTACCAATGGATTATATTTTTTCCGTCTAACTAAAACATCCACTTCATAAGGACAGGGACTTTGTCAATCTTCCTCTCCGCTGCAGGGTACCCTATCGGCTCAGTACCATAAGTACAAACTTGCACACCATGCATGCTTGAGAGAATGAATAAATAAACACTCCACAAATGAATGAGACAATCTGGTACAGAATCAGAAGGAAAAGCTGAGAGCAGCATTTGTCACTTATCATCAACCACACTGCTGCCATTCCCCTCCCCTTGCTTCTAATTTTCCCAGTGGGACCAGCAATGAAGCTACATACAAGTGGTCAAACTGGGACTCGGAGCTATGGACCACATGGCTTTTTGATTCTGTGCTTTGAACAGAAAAGCACTCTGAAATGATTTGCTTGAGATTCCTGAAATTCAAATACAGGAAAAGAATAAAAAAAAGAACCATTTTTGGACATCAAGGTAGATCTGCCCATCTAATTATGCCCTGTAACATGCAGCCATGAACTGCTGAGAGACAGTGAAGCAAAGCACTCACTGCGACCCACAGAGGCAAGATGGAGGGGTTCATTTTTAAGCAACTTTCAGAAACCTGGTTGCAGGATATTACTGAATACCAAGCATATAAGCATGATGATAAGCTCCTTTCATGGATTTCTCAATAGTAGGAAATTCAGCTCGCTACTCAATTCCTACCCGAGACACTGAGAACAAAGGAAGATACAATGAAAATGGCAGAATATAATTACACATTAATTGGCCGGCAACGTGGCTCACTAGGCTAATCCTCTGCCTGTGGCACCGGCACTCCAGTCCCGGTGGGGGCGCCAGTTCTGTCCCGGTTGCTCCTCTTCCAGTCCAGCTCTCTGCTGTGGCCTGGGAAGGCAGTGGAGGATGGCCCATGTGCTTGGGCCCTGCACCCACATGGGAGACCAGGAGGAAGCGCCTGGCTCCTGGCTTTGGATCAGCCCAGCACACCAGCCATAGCGGCCATTTGGGGTGTGAACCAATGGAAGGAAGACCTTCCTCTCTCTCTCTCACTGTCTAACTCTGCCTGTAAAAAAAAAAATTACATATTAATTATACCATCAGGAAGAGAGTTGTTCTATACCTTTGAGACTCACTTAAAATGCATTCACATCCTCAAGGAGACTTCACAGTACTCCAACCCAAGAAATATATATAGTTCACAACTCCTCATATAAGCAGATTTTGTCTTTATGGCAAGCAAAAATAAGTAAATAAATAAAATAAACAGACACAGAGAGTCCACATATACCAAATAAGAAAAGTGTGGGTATGACACAGTCAGTAGAGTGTCTTAAAAGCAAGCTAGTGATTTTTTTCTGAGAATTAGAATAGAATGAAAGCATCTCTCTCCTAGAACAGTAATTCATAAAGCAATTGGAGGCAGGCTGTGTGGGTTGATAAGTGATGGCTGCCATTATATTAAAAGGTGACAAAAACCATGCTGCCACATTGACAAATGTTCTAGTTTTTGCTATGTTTGAAAAACACTCCAAATTCTAACACATTGTCTGAGTATTATTTACCTTCCAATATATTGATTTGTTATTATCACACAATCAAGCCATACACATCACAGAAATATCAGAATCAGGCTCAAAAACAGTTTTTAAGCTTAGTCATACAATCTATGATACAAGATATTTAAAATACAGTAAAACCATTATGTAGATTAACATAGAGCTTTAAAAAAACCCTCAAACATGGTTAATATTAATTTAGCCATTTTGGTTCATGTGGGAATGTTGAGTGTCATTTGCCAAAAATTAATGCTCATGTGGTATAAAACGGTATTCATTATAATTAAGGCCTAATCACTAAAGAAGTCCAGAGTATGGAATTTATGATCTTGCATACATGTTTATAAAACATGGGTTCAGGAAAGAACCACCTCATTCATCAAGAAACCCTTTGATCTTTCAGTGTACTGTAACAGGACAACGGCAAGTTTCAGTGGGGAGGCTTCCTTGGATGGCTCCTCCTAGCCTTCAAGTTGCTCTATTTCTGTTTAGGGTACAGCACTGACCTCCAAGACTGTCGTTTTTGTTCCGGCTTTGCTTGACAGAATGTCAAGACCATAAATAAAGCAGCAGGGCCCCAGTAGCCAGCTGAGTCATAAACCCCACTCAGCGGCATGTGGCTCAAGGTGTTGGGATCCCGATAGAGTCAAGCCAAGCAAGTGGAATCAATTTAAGTCAGGGTTTGGAAAAACAAAACGCTCCCCGCTCCCCACCTCATCTGGTAGCGCAAGATACCACAATCCCCCTCCCACCGCTCAAAGATGGGGGATGGCAGTGAAGCCCAGGGAAACATCCAGACGAGGGCAGACTTTATTTCCACAGCCTAACAGGAGAAAGCAAGACAAAACAAAGCAACACCAAAAAGAACCCCAATTATTTGAAAACCAACCTCAAACTTCTAAATGTTTGGTTCTCCTGTTTTTAAGCATAAAAGCAGTCTTGCTGCTGCTCAGTTATTATCACCATCCTGTTTTTTGACATTTGTACCCTGTACCATTTGTCCTTAGGGTACTTTGGCTTATTATTTTAAAAATACAGAGTTAAGCATGTTTAAATCACTTTAAATATCTCAAAAAGTAGCAAACACAGAACTTACCTGCTTGGGCATGCACACTTGAAAAGAAACACTTTATAGAATGGCCTGCAGGTCAGCAGACTCTGGTTCTGGCAGACTAATGTCAGGAAGGAGCTATAGAAAACAAGGTCCTCCGTATGAAAAGCACTCTGCCTGTGGTTCCCTCAGGCCAGAACTTGGAACTGTTAGCAAACACGCCCTGAGAAACTGCAACTCTCATAAAGCTCCAAAAACTCCCAAATAAACATGGCCCCTCAAAACTGTGTACAAATGAGAAACATTTAATGAACAATCCTTTCTTCACCAATAATTCTGCTGAAATTAAGTCCAGCAGACTCTTCAAAGGGACCAAAGAAGCCCCCCTGTTAAGACAAATTCTATATATAGACATCCAAGACAATTATATGATGCATATAACCAAATATATATAATTATCCTGGTTTCTACATTCCCATTATCTTCATAAATATAGGATAAAAATCAGTCTAAATGACTTTCTCAGACCTCCTCAAGGATTAAGGCGAGCCAGCCAGCTTTTTAAAAGTATATGCATGTAGTAAAGATCAAAAGCAAATGTTCTGGTCAGTTCTTTTCTACTCATGGATTTTACTAAGAATGTGTGCAGTTTTCAGGGAAAACACCACAAATGACAGCTGCTCAAAAGCATGGAAATTAATTGGCAGCAGAAAGTTCCTTGACTAATAGGGAAAAACTCAAAGTCACATGTTTTGATGAGCTTATTTTCCCATCCTTAGTCAAGCATATTCACTGTTAATAATTAAGATTTCCAAATAGAAATATAACCAAGGAAAACCCAGAGTGCACTCCCTATCTTTTCTCAGTGCAACACAGCCAACCATTACTGAGTGAATAATGGCATTAACAAGTAGATTTTAGCCAATCAAACAACAGGAGAAAGGTTCAACTTGCAGGTCTCAATTTTCTATAAAAACCAAACCAAGACACAGTAAGCACAACACATTTATTGTATTAAATAAAAAAAAATCACAGCACGACAAGCCACTGCTCCACCCCCACCCCTGGCAGTAAGCCACCTGCTTTGAGCTGCTTTTCTAGCAGTGGGAATGGATTTACACTCATCCATCCACAGTCTCTCTGACACAGGGGCTCTCAAGTTGTTACTCTTGTGACCAGTGGTGAGAATGGACGAGACAGCTGGTCAGGATTAGGTGAGCAGCCTGCAGCCTTGGGACCAGGTCATGTTACTGTGCCCAGAGCCTGACGCTATGACCTTGGACTCATTAGCATTATGCTCTCATCACCTAAGCTAACAGCCGCTGATCAGCCATGATCCAACATACATCACCCTAGGGACACAATGTGTTTTCAGTTCCAGCAGCAACGTGAGCTTCTTATTTTCAAGGCAGTCTGAGTTGAGGCAAGGAGACCCAAAGAATCACACGTAGGGAACCTACCTGAACACTGTCCCTACAGGCACCAATGAGAAACTGTGGTCTTTCCAAGCTAATCACACACTGGCTCCAAGAGAGCTCAAGGAAAGCAAGAAACAGTCAAAGAATCTCCAAAGCATACATTGCAAGTGGCACAACAGAACAACATACCTGGCCATTCCCAGACTCGGAAAGTTGGCGGGGACGACAAGGACGTCCAGCCGGGAGAAGGGGTGTGTTCCCAGCACAGAATGTGCTGCCGAGAGGCAGGAAGGGATCAGTCGCAGAAGGGTCTCTTGGCAGGCATCCTTGAGGCACACCGGGGCAAAGACTCTGTGAGGAATGACCTCCTGAGTAGTGGCAGTAGCATTCTGGAAGCGGCAGGGATATTCCATGTGACCACAGACACCAACACATCTGGGGAACGACACGAAACAGATAGATGTACTTATTGGTAAATCAGGCTTATTCTGCTTGCCCTGGTGGTAAGGAGATCACGTAGACATGGACAACTTTAAGGAGGCAGAGGTTCAGACAGGCTCATACAGCAAAGACTGCATCTGAATTCTAGGTTCCTCTGCTTCTGTGAGCAGTAAAAATCACAATACTTACTGACACGCTCACATCAATTGAGGAGCTTCAATTTAAGTGAAATGGTAAAATCTTGTTTTAGAATAAACTGGGGGAGGTGAGCTCAAGATGCAAAACAACAAAACAAATTCCCATCAAAACAAAAATAATTACTGCTCTCAGTAACGTGCTTTCAAATATCACCATATGAAAAATCTCTGCCAATCAAGTAGGATTCATGACACAGAAAGGAAGGGACGAGGCTGCCAAATTCAAGACCCTGTTCTGAAATTTCCTAGATTGAAAGACTTGGACTCAAGTAGAACGTGCACCATGCTGCAGCTACAAGTTCAAACTTTTTCCAAAGAACACAACCCATTTTACTAAAACGTTACCTAGGTATTCTCTATAAAGCCCGTCTAAGGTTGCTGTTAAAGAATACTGAGCATTTTCTCAAATTCACTTTCAGTATAAATTTAACCAAGTCAACCTTTTAAGGAAAACAGACCAGAGCCCAGCCCGCACCATCTGACCACTGCCAGTTATTATGCCAAAGGCGGGGCTGGAAGAGAATTCCTAGAACCTGACTCACAGGCCTCAAAAGAACTTATCAACCCAAAGAAACCTACATCAAAGGGAACTCTGTTTTTTCACCTGTTAACGGGTCTTTATTCAAACACAATGGAAAGCCTCTCTAATTTTAAATTAAAAATTATAATTCTAACTATAGGTGCTTATTTGATTCACAATGGACACTGAAAAAAAATCTTAAAGACCTAGCATGTCCCAATATGGGCAGCCTGCAACAGAAATTCCTCTCCAAATTTATGAAGTGCCTTCCACCCATCCAAGGCCAGCTAAAAAGACCCATGGGGCTATCTAAGGAAAGCTCGCCCTTCACCAGCATGGTGAACAGAATACAGCTTCCAGCCCAATGACACTTCATCTCTGCAGAGGCAAGACCCACAAAAGCTTCTGCCAGGATAAGGTGAAAAGAGGAGGAACAGTGGACACAGAACTCAGGCCGACATCTCTGAACTGACAATACCAGGTGGTAAACACTGAACTGAAAGCTTGCAGCTTCTACCTCATGACAAACACTGAGTTGTCACATCAATTCCAGCACAGTGAAAAAGGCCAGTCCTTGCCGGCGCCGCAGCTCACTAGGCTAATCCTCCACCTTGCGGCGTCGGCACACGGGTTCTAGTCCCGGGTTGGGGCGCTGGATTCTGTCCCGGTTGCCCCTCTTCCAGGCCAGCTCTCTGCTGTGGCCAGGGAGTGCAGTGGAGGATGGCCCAAGTCCTTGGGCCCTGCACCCCATGGGAGACCAGGATAAGTATCTGGCTCCTGCCATTGGATCAGCGCGGTGCGCCAGCTGCAGCGCGCTGGCCGCGGTGGCCATTGGAGGGCGAACCAACGGCAAAGGAAGATCTTTCTCTCTGTCTCTCTCTCTCACTGTCCACTCTGCCTGTCTATATATATATATATATATATATATATATATATATAAAAGGTCAGTCCTTGAATTCACCACCACAATATCTTTTTCTAATGTGTTTACACAGGTATGCAATCTGCTATAGTAAGTCAAGCTCATACACTCTCTACTGAAAAGCTTTCAGAATATATTAGATTATTCTGGTTGCATGAATGAACATTATTTTGCATGATAAATCCAAGGAGAAGATGAAGAACTTTAAGTCATCCAAGCTATGGACAAGTAAGACCAGTAAGTTTCCCAAGAAAAATGAAAATGGTGTCAGGGCAACAACATGTGGGCTCTCACACAGGGATCAGGAAATGTGGGCTTCAGCGGATGCTCTCTACTAGGGCCTGGGAGGGCAGTACAAGATGGCCCACGTCCTTGGGCCCCTGCACCTGGAAGAAGCGCCTGGCTCCTGCCTCCCGGCTTCGGATTGGTCTGGCTCCAGCCTTTGCGGCCCTTTGGGGAGTAAACCAGTGGATGGAAGACTTCTCTCTCTGCCTCTGCCTCTCTGTAACTCTGTCTTTCAAATAAATAAATAAATAAATAAATCTTTAAAAAAATATGTCCATGTCCCACTTCAGAGTATATCAGTTCAATTCCTGGCTCTGATTCCTAACTCCAGCTTCTTGCTAATGCAAACTTTGACAGGCAGTGGTGATGGCCCAAGTAGTTGGGCTCCCAGATTAAAAGTTCCTGGTCCTGGTTCCAGGCCTGACACATTCCCTGCCATTGGGGGCACTTAGGGAGTGAACTAGCAGGTAGCAGCTCTCTCTCCCTCTCTCTCTAATTAAACAAAGAAACAAAAAACAACTTGAAAGGATCTATGACTATGACAGCTAACCACAGGAGCCTTCCTTCGCAGGACAGCCTTGTTTCTGAAGAGGTGTGGGAATACTGTGCTTTCGCAGAGTCAGGAACAGTGCCACAGGCCCGGCGTCACCCCCAAAGATGTTTTATCTTTGCATACACTTTATAACTCCAAAGAAGCTCTCTTCCCCCACCACGTCCTCTCTAGATTATAGAACCTCCGTGCCTTTTCTTTTTCACAGTGCCCATTTTCTGTGCCTTTAATCATTTTTGTGGCATTCCTCTGGACTTTATCCAAGTTTCCATGCTGCCCTTAAACCATACAGTCCCAACAAAGGCCTTGAGAGGTTAAACAGAATACAGCACAAAGATCCCCCTGTGGCTGGAAAAGGTTATACTGCAGCTGAGTAAAATTCATAAAGTTTTGACAGTGTATCTGAGTGCCTCATAACTAATGCATTTACTAAAATGCTCACCTAGAGTGGGCTGCAGCCGGTGTGAAACTGGAGCTGGAGGAGGGAATGTTCTCCCTATGAGTTTGCTCACATGAACAGTGATCAAAAGTTCAGTGACCGACACGTTGGTCAAATTTCTGGAGCCCAGATGAACACTTAAGCAAATGAGACCCCTGTAAAAGTTAGATTTCTACGAATTCAACTGGTGGTCTTCAGAAGTTTTGAAGTACAAAGGGGGTTAGGGAAGGCAAGGGGGACCAGATGTGGACGTAAGCAAAAGCACCACTGCGATTGGCACTTCAGAGCGCCTCTGCTGGCAAACTTAGCACAGAGTCAGAGATCTCAGGGAGGAAAACACAAAGCCACTTCTGACGACTGGAGATAGCACACGCTGAAGCATGCGGCCGGGGCAGGCTTAAGCAAATGTAAGCTATTATTTTATCAGCAGTACAGTCTTGATAGACAAGCACATTGATAAATGAAGGGAAAACTTAGTCACAGTCTATCAGATGTGGTAGGGAGAGAGGGAAGAGCCGCGTTCCCCAAATCTGCCACTTCCCTAAGACAACACCTGCCCTAGAGCGGCACTTGCCCTCTATCCAGCTCACCGGCCTGGCTCAGCCACACTGTGCTTTCCGTTTGCATCTACTTGCCCTCTGAGAGCATACTTTGGGGCCTGCTGTCTGTCATGTGTTAGGCAGGCTCTGTAACTGTGTTGTGGAGGCTGGCAGCAGTCCAGCTGGGTTGGTGACTGCGTGGGTCAATGTATTTAGTGTGGAAGTGGAGTATTAGCCCATGAGACCATGAACTTAGGCACTTGCTTGGTCCAGCTTTTGCCAATAACAAAACCTTTATTTTGATCTCCTTCTGTTCTGCAGTCAGGAGGACAAGAGAGGAGTAGCACACACGTACCCCTTCCCCTGAACCCCATCAGCAACTGCAGACATCATCTCCTCTCAGAATCCCCATTTGGTTTGGTCATTTTCTCCTCCTTTCAGAATAACAGATGCAAGAACAGTTGAGAGGCCACTGCAGCTGCTTCTGGGCAGGAAGGAGTGGTGGTTGTGGCCCACGCCCCCACCCTGTGTCTCCAGGGAACACCGCTACAAGGGCAAAGTAACACTTCTTTCTTTGGCTTCCCCTAGCCTTCTTAAGGCCCGCAGTGATCAGTTGCACATCTTCTCTAAGAACCAATCACCCCCGAGGCTTTAGATGACAGCAGAGAATTTCTTCACTAGGATGAGCTTGAGAAACCAGGAGCAAAGTCCTCATTCTACATTTTAAGGGAAGTGTAGCTTTGCCCAGAAAGCTGTATCCAACTAGTAAGGATAGCACCCTCAGGCTCAAAAGCAGCTAACACAAAACCTCTACACTTAACTTCTGTTTTCCTTCCAACACGACATACTCGTACCATCAGTAACAGAGCTGCGTCATGCTGGCGCCTCCTCAGGTGGGGAGGTGTATCAGACTGTGGTGATGCACAGATGTTGGGTACCAGTTTTTAAAGTCCCCAGGTAACATTCAGAATCAGCTCTCCAGAGAGTCAGGTGTGGATCAGAATCCAAGGTATTATTCCTCAAAAGGCACACAAATCTGAACAAGTTACTATCTGAGTCTCGGCATCCTTATCTAGAAAACAAGAATACAGCCTGCCTAGCTTCCAGGCTTCTTTCCAGGGCTCAAAGAGATGATATTTAGGTCAAGACTCCCTGAGTTCAAGAAACCAATGGCTTCTGTATCAATTCAGGGTAAGTTAGGATATGCTATAGTAACAAACAACCCCAGCACTTCAGTGGCTTAACAAAGAGTTTACTTCTTGCTCATACCAAGTTCACTGCGGATCCAAGTGATTCTCCAGGGCATCTGTCCTCACTCAGAAATTCTGGCTGCCCTCATTTGCAAAATGACGAATACTCAGACCTCAGTGTAGGGAAAGAGAGCATGAGAAGGTCTCTCATATAGTAAGTGTTCTCTCATGGAAACAGCGTGTGTCACTTGTGCCCACAATTCTCTTCTTCCTTCTAGAGGACATAAGCAAAGTCTAGTAAACTATCCAGGATATCCATGTAACTCAGAAAAGATGGCCCAAAATAGATGTATTCCTGAGCAAGAAGAACCTCCCTTCTTCCAAAAAGGCAAAATGCAGGCAGTAATATATACCTACCAAAAGAGACAGCACGTGGCCTCGCCTCCTAAAGAGATGGACATGAGGGGAGTCTGCACTAAGAGTGTGTCGTAGCTGTTTTCAAAGGCGGACTAACCATCTGTGCCATTCTGTAGGGCTTTCTTCACCCAAAGGTACTGACTTCATGGCTTTCTGTATATTGGAAGAATGATTCGATTCATCCTGCTGGCCGGCACCACGGCTCACTAGGCTAATCCTCCGCCTTGCGGCGCCGGCACACCGGGTTCTAGTCCCAGTCGGGGCATCGGATTCTTTCCCGGTTGCCCCTCTTCCAGGCCAGCTCTCTGCCTGTGGCCAGGGAGTGCAGTGGAGGATGGCCTAAGTGCTTGGGTCCTGCACCCCATGGGAGACCAGGAGAAGCACCTGGCTCCTGCCATTGGATCAGCACGTTGCGCCAGCCGCAGCGCACTGGCCGCAGCGGCCATTGGAGGGTGAACCAACGGCAAAGGAAGACCTTTCTCTCTGTCTCTCTCACTGTCCACTCTGCCTGTCAAAAAAAAAAAAAAAAATGATGCCAGCTTCAGTGCCTCTATTCCCCTTTCCTCTTTTGGTCTTGTGAGAGTTTCCATGTGTCCCATGTCCCTACAGAGGCCAACCAGCCCCACTGAGGGAGGCTATCCCCACAATGCACCGGTAACAGCAATCACTGGAACCAAAACAGCATAGTGGTATGCAAAGTGATCCATCAGGCAAGCAGCTTCTTCATTGTTTTTGATCATATATAAGCACTGAAAACCCGTGTTAAGATGTAGGAAGAGAGGAATTGTTGAATCTAAGGAAGCTTCTCATTTAACCAAACGTATGAAAATATTTCACCTGACTTCACACAGAGGATTTATACAGATACTTGTATCTACTGCTCTCTTTCTGCATAAACAATATGCCCACATTTCTGCCTCTTAACCCTCTTTCCTTCCCAGTAGGGCTTTTCCTGCTTTGATTAATCCTATTTTGGTTTAGTTTCTCAGCAGGGATGACTCATATTCCCAGTGCCTGGAAGAAATGCATCATACTGCTCCCTCAAGTGTTTGTTTCTCTGCAAGTTCCCAAGCACAAACCTGAAGTCGGCCTGGGAAGATGGGACGGGTCTCTCTGAGGGTCGATCATCTGATGAGCATGGCTCTGGCATCACTTCTGTCCAGCATCCCACTGCGACTGTGAAAGTGGAAGCTGGCATCGGCATGGTGACATAGTAATGCCAGCTGGAGCATCCTACAAACAGAAAGACAAATGCTATGAGGAGGCAACACATGGCTCTCAACCTTCCTCTATTTCTTCTCTTGAGGCACGGTGAAGAGCTCATGTGATTAACTGGTAAGAGGCAGGTCACATCCACTAGAGGGGCATTATTTCAGAACTCAGGAAAGGCGCAAAAGGGATGATGGTTTCAAGGCAGCCAAGGAGTATTGGATCTCTCCCAGTGCTCAGACTGAGGCTATAAAGGGTGGTGGCTGAGGTGGTCACTCAGAGCTGCAAACACAGAAGGGCTTCACTGTGTGCTCGAGTAGAAGAGTGTGTCTTATTCATGCTGATTGCCTAGCATAGTATTTGGTATAAAATAAGGTGCTTAACTGATATTTGTTGAATATTAATTCAACAATCCATTCAAGGAATATCCATTCACAAAAGAATGACCACTTTTGTGTGATAACTAAACCATATTGTCCAAATTAAATTCAAACAAATCTAGGTTGATGCAGATCACAAATTTTGAGATTAAGGATGTTCAACCAGTAAATATTCCCAAGTTAGAAAAAAAATCTGAAACATGGTAGGGCCCAAGCATTTCAGACAAGAGATACTCAACATGAAGTGGAAATCACATGAGCCTAAGGAAGGGAGTCCTTGGTTTTTAGTTCCAACTCAAACCAATGAGCCGGGCAGGTTCAAGTCTTATCCCCATTCTTGTTATCTGTTTAGCTGCTCTCCCACTCCTCTTTGAACACATGCAAAACAGGAGTAGGGAAGGCAAATGCAATTAAAGACTCCCTACTAGTTTGGAACAGGGCTAGGAGCCTGTATTCTCCCCTTAGTTCAAAGCTTAGAGCTTTTATCAAAGGAGTGAGTGATTGATAACTTATATCACTATATTTCCCTCATATCTAGAACTGGATTCTGAAATCTGAATGTATCATACAACTTGATTTAACATAACATTTGTTTCTGAGCACATGCTAAAAACTGATATATGTCTTATAGCGAGTTGATACTCCCTTATATTATGAACACATTTCTGCACTTATATCGCCATCGGACACCACTCTTTCAGCCATCTCACAAACTCCTTTACATGGCTATTATTCTCTTTCTTGCTTTAAGTTTTAGAAGGTTAAGCACTCATGGAGTGGCTAGGGGATGTCCAGTTTGGTCAGTGAGTGGCTATGGTATCAAATTCAGTGTCAAAATATTAACATAACCACACTGGCCAGCAGGCCTAATGACATTTTTCAAAGTGCTTTACCAGTAAAAATCAATACTGGTTAGAAATTTGATCTTCATGTGCTGCGCTCCTTTGTCTATCAAGTAATTCTGAATATCTCATAAAGGTAGATAGTATCTTTATTGAACTCTACCAATTTAGGTGCAAAGTAATGCATTACAGTGCTTCTCTAATGATCAATACAACTTTAAATAGGAAACAAAGACTTAAGGGGAAAAAGAAAAATGACTTCCAGTGAAATTCAAATTTGGAAGTCATTTGAGGTTAGAGGTTATTCTTGAAGGAAGAACAGAAGGACTTCCTCAGAACTGCTCTAAACCCACCATTAAGGCAGTCACTTTCTCAGACTTGCTTAAAAGGTTTGTTCTGCTCCTCCTGGAATCATGATGGCCACTCTTGAGATCCCTCTCTTGGTGGTCAACAAGTTGAAGGCACGATTCTCAGTGGTGCTGGAGCTAACGCAGTGATGTATTCAGCTCCTACTGGACTTAAAGAAGGGCCACGGCCTTAAAGAGAACCACTGTTTTAATCCCAAGCCAGTATGGAGAGAGCAGGGACAGTCACAGGCGTCTTGATGAAAGTAGGACATGGAGCTGAAAAGACAGGCTATCTTGTGCCCACTTCCTTCATATTTCTACCTGCCCATAACCACCTTATTTTCTGTAACTTGATACCCCTTTTGATTCTCCAAGGAGACATAAAGAACTTCAGTTTGGACTGGACAGCACAATGACTGCTACATCAGAGTTGGGGTGGGAGGAAGTGGAGATGGAAGAAGAGGAAAGAAGCTGAGGGAGGAACTAAATCTTTTGAAGAGCTGAGAATTTAACAAAAGGAGTCCTGAATAACAGAATTTTCATAATCAAAGGACTGTAGTCTATCATTCTTTCTCTGAAGTTCATTATGGATTGTTTACCATGGACCACTAAATTTTCCTTTTTAAAATTTTCAGCCCCTTGGGAGTTTGGTAACTAGGTAAATAAGCAATAGTAAGGTGTTCAGGTAGGAATGAAAGCTTGAATGCATGAGGCCAACTTTGCTCCACCCACCCTTCCCAGACTCCAATATACGACAATAAAAAGATTTGTAAAGGTGTACAATGTTAAGAACAGGGAAAATAAAACAGGAGACAAAACCTACAAATACCACTACAACACAACAACGTACTAACAACACACATGGAAGAGTAGCAAATGACATGGCAGACCAGAATCCTAAATTAGCAATGAGGGGAGGTAATACCCACCTCATTTCACTTGCTAGAAACAGTCCCAAAAGGCTTTGGTATGGAGAAAGTGCTAAACTAAGCAGGCCTGCTTAAACATTGAGCCATGGAGTGGTCAGATCCACAGCTGACCTCCCTGACTTCAAACACCTGGGCTATCAGCCCATTCCCTCATATGCCCCCACAAATAACAGGAGGGCTTGTAAGAGAGCACCTCTGTACTAGCGGGGTGTGGAATAGGGAAGGAACAGCATAGCTGAAGGCAAATCAATGGGATTAGATAAACACATGCCTATGGGATGCATAGACCATCAACCATGTCCCCTTACCCGTTCCCAGAACACTGTCAGCCAGGCTTTCATCTCTCTCTCTCTCTCTCTCTCTCTCTCTCTCGGTCTCCCTCCCTCCCTCCCTCCAACTCTTTCAAATAAATAAAAAATCCTTTAAAGTGAAAATTAAGTCTATTTGAGTGCAAAAAATTTTGTAAATCTGTGCATATGAGGGTCTTAAAAACATTCATGGAGGGGCTGGTGCTGTGGCTCATTTGGTTAATCCTCTGCCTGTGGCACCAGCATCCCATATGGGCACCAGGTTCTAGTCCCGGTTGCTCCTCTTCCAGTCCAGCTCTCTGCTGTGGCCTGGGAAGGCAGTGGAGGATGGCCCTACTGCTTGGGCCCCTGCACCCGCATAAGAGACCAGGAAGAAGCACCCCTGGCTCCTGGCTTCGGATTGGCGCAGCGCCGGCCATGGCAGCCATTTGGGGGGTGAACCAACGGAAGGAAGACCTTTCTTTCTGTCTATAACTCTACCTGACAAATAAATATTAAAAAATTTATGGAAAATGCATGCATGGCTTTCAAAAAATGTTTGCACCAAAATAGATATATTTTAATTTCACTCTAGCACAAACTTTTTGAAGTACTCATATGCTTGCATAAATGAAAAATATTGATCTAATTGACATGATGATAGGATTTGGGGAAGGACACCTGTATTATGAGGTAAGAGGAGGACAGGGAACACTAAATCTCCTTTCCCCCGCCAGAAACCTTTTATTTAAGGAATACAAACATCATGTATTTCATAAATATAACTTTAGGAAAACAGCAATTTTTCCCACTGCATATGCCCTCCAACCCACACTCCCACTCCACTTCCTCCTCCCTCTCCTATTCCTATTCGATTTATTTTCAATTAACTTTATATACACATGATTAACTCTATACTAAGTAAAGAGTTCAACAAATTAAATGAAAAACAAAAAACAACAACAGCAACAAAACCCTGTTCCTCAACAGTAGAGACAAGGGCTGTTAGAAGTCACTGTACCTCAAACTGTTAATTTCACTTCTATTACCTTTTAGGTGCTCTATTAGTTACCACAGATCAGGGAGAACATACGGTATTTGTCCTTTTGGGCTTGGCCTATTTCACTAAGTATGATTTTTTCCAGTTGCATCCATTTTGTTGCAATCGACAGTATTTCAATTTTTTAACCACTGTGTAGTATTCCATGGTGTACATATACCATAATTTCTTTATTCAGGTTTCAGTTGACAAGCATTTGGGTTGATTCCATGTCTTAGCTATTGTGAAGTGAGCTGCAATAAACAAGGTGCTATATATCACTCTTTCATATGCAGATTTAACTTCCTTTGGATAAATTCCAAGGAGTGGCATGGCTGGGTCATATGGTGGGTCTATATTCAGATTTCTGAGACATTTAGATTTCTTCTACAGTGGCTGTACCAGTGTACGTTCCAACTAACAATGGATAAGGGTACCTTTTCTCCCACATCCTTGCCAGCATTTGTTGTTTATTGATTTCTGTATGAAAGTCATTCTAACGGGGATGAGGTGAAACCTCATTGTGGTTTTGATATGCATTTCCCTGATGGCTGGTGATCCTGAGCATTTTTTCATGTGTCTTTTGGGGATCTGGATTTCCTCTTTCGAAAAATGTCTGTGTAAGCCCTCTGCCCATTTAAACAAAACACTGGCCATGGATTTGTCATAAATTGCTTTGATTGTATTAAGGAATGTTCCTCCTATTACCAATTTTTATCAAAATTCCTTCTGTACCCAGTTTTCAGCATGAAACAGTATTATATTTTATCAAATGCTTTCTCTGCATCTATTGAGAAAACCATATGGTTTTTGTTCTTCAGTTTGTTAATGTGTGATGTATCACATTGATTTGTGAATGTTGAACCACCCCTGCATACCTGGGATATACCCCACTTGGTTCAGGTGAATGATCTTTCTGATACGCTGTTAGATTTTTTCTTTTTTTTAATTTTTTGACAGGCAGAGTGGACAGTGAGAGAGAGAGGGCGCACCGCGCTGATCCGATGGCAGGAGCCAGGAGCCAGGTGCTTTTCCTTGTCTCCCATGGGGTGCAGGGCCCAAGCACTTGGGCCATCCTCCACTGCACTCCCTGGCCACAGCAGAGAGCTGGCCTGGAAGAGGGGCAACCGGGACAGAATCCGGCGCCCGAACCGGGACTAGAACCCGGTGTGCTGGCGCCGCTAGGCGGAGGATTAGCCT